CCTCCCTCCCTCCCTTCCTTCCTTCCTTCTTTCCTGGCCCTCTCCCTTCCTTCTTTCCTTCCTTCCTTTCACACTAGTGATACTCAGTTTATTGGCTTTTGCCATAGGTTTTGGAAATGTCCAAGGTTTATGTGGCAAAAAATGTGTACGACTTTGATAGGAATATAATGTAGTCTTGTATTAACTCTCTGGACTGTTAGGATGAATGGTTTCTGTATTTCCTTCTTTCATATTCTTACTGGATAAACATTTGTATAACCACATACTTTTACATCAGAATCTTTATACCAATAATATGACTAATAAAAAGTCTTTTCCTGGTTTATATTAAGTTATTACATTATATTCTTAGAATTTGGGTTCCTATGATATTTTTTTTCTGATGAGACTGAAGGCTGGGGGAATCATGTATCCCATATCTCATGCTTCCTGCTACATGCTTAGAATTCTTGGCTATAATCTTTCTGATTTATCTTCGTAATGACCAATATATATTTTTTTATAGGAAGGTGCAGAAGGCAAATGCTCACATCAGAAGTCCTAAGCAGGCATTTCAAGTTGACTGAGCCTGAGCCCACTGATCTCTAGCTGATTTGCTGTTTCTGAAAGACATCCCACTTAATTACAGCATAAGACAGACACTCAGCAGCTCACAGACAACGATGGATAACTTGATTATGTTCTATAATTTTCTTGACAAGTGTTGGCAAAGGCAATACATTAGTCTCACAGGCTAGGGCATCAGATGTCATAGTGATAATGGGGTTTGGGATGGTGTGGTTTCCTTTGGTGACAGGCTGCCACATGCTGTTCTGCGCCTTTAGACAAGTGAGAGCTTGGAAGAGTTAAGAGAAAGTTGCAAGGAGGTGAGAAGTGTATGAATCAGTCCCTGGGTATCCTGAGGCTCTGAAGAAAATGACTTGAAACAATTCCAGCTCGCAGTTTTTCCCTTCAATCAATTCCCAGCTGGGGTGCGACAGAAGGTAGATGATAGGAAAGGGAAAGGGAGTGATAAAGTGCAGCAGCTCCGTAAGAGAGAAAAAAAGTTTCCCAGAGGGAAGGGAGTGGAAAAGGAGAAAGGGATCAGAGATTTCTTGGGGTGGGGATACTACAGCAAAACCCTTAGCTGTTCTAAACATCAGCCTGGGCAACTGACAAGGAATCAGAACAGGTAGAACACGGGGTGGTGGAAAAAGGCTCCGCTACAAGCCATGTGTTAAGGCTAGATTCTCTGTCATTTTTTTGCTAATTAAAATCTGCAAATGATGGGATGGAGATGCCATGATGGAAAAGACACAAAGAATAAATAAAAAGAAAGAAAAAAGGAACAAAAAAAGTTTGTATCATGACACAATATAAATAAGCTTATGGAGAGCTCAGTTATCACAAAACAGAATAAAAATGAATTTTAAAGGCTTGAGGAAATATTTCAGTCAGAATCATACTTGAGGAAAAAAAACTTTTGGTTTTCAATAGTCCTAAGCAGATTAAGTTAAACACATAGGCAAATATTTCACATATGCAGAATTGGTGACATAGATACTTCAACCATATTAGAATCCACTTGAACTTTGTAGTTCTGGCATCCGATCCTAAGTCATCATAGACGCTGAACAAACACCGCTGTTGAGCTACACCCCAGCTCCAAATCCCATCTTTACTAATGAGGCCCATGAATAAATGAAGTTGAGTCTTAGTAGATTTTAGCAGAGCCCCTTTTCTTTTGTGGAGGTGGATGACAAAAATCCCAGCTACCTACATTTTTCGTTCTCACTAGACACCCAGAAGGATGAGGATTTATATGTGTCAAAATAATCCATCCATTTAATCCTTCTCTTCAAGTCAAAAAGGGAAAGAACCAAAGCCTATGGTTAACCACACAGCACAAAGTGACTTATTGTGAAATGCAATTAGGTTTGGAGGAAATGACAGATCTGAAATCAACTTTTTTGTTCTGCCTTTGGGATGTAAAGTGCATAGGATCATTCATTTGAAGTCACATTGTTATTGTATGCATGTAGTTCCAGTAGAAAAGTTTTCTTGGGCGAACAGTTTCTTATTCCAAATGGCAGAAGCTGATTCTACCAGAAGTGCAAGCAAATATAAAGGACTATTAAAAGGAGAAAGACTGCCCTAGTGAGTTGAAGATAAAGATATAGAAACTGCTGCATAGTGTGTGTGTGTGTGTGTGTGTGTGTGTGTGTGTGTGTGTGTGTGTGTGTGTGACTGAACCTGACAAAGCAGTCGCCAGAGAAGTGGGAACCACAATTGAGAGTATGTGTCAATCAAATTGGCCTGTAAGTAAGTCTAAAATTAAAAAAAAATTATGATTAATGATTGCTGTCGGAGGGACCAGCTCACTGTAGGCAGTACCACCCCTGGGAAGTAGATACTGGGTTGCACAAAACTGGTGGCTGAATAAGCCATGGGGAGCAAGCCAGTAAGCAGCATCCCTCCATGGTCTCTGCTTCAGTTCCTGCCCTGACTTCCTTTATGATGGGTTGCAACATGGAGGTATAAGCCAAATCAACCCTTTGCTCTTCAAAGTGCTTTTGGTCTGAGTGTTTTAGCACAGCAATAGAAAGCAACGTAAGTCAAAATGAATTTGATGTGCTTGTTAGAAAACCTGGTGTGATTTCCTCCAAAAGCAAATCAGAAAGCAATCTGGACATCACCAGATATCCCTCAGTCTTAACTTCATTTCAAATTAAAATAACACAGGTTAATTTTATTGAGTTCATAGTATAACAGGCAATTTTTGGATTGTGTCTTCACGGATAAAGGGCATCTTGCACAAAGTAGCTTTTATGTGTTTCGAAGGGAAGACTAGAATGCTGTTACCTTCCCAGGAACTGAGCCTTTACTGGACACACAGTTGAAACTGATGAAGTACATTTGAAACAAAGCCAAAATGTAGAAGCAGGAGACTGAGAGTATAGACAAGTCATTTGAATTTTGGTCATTTTCTGTGGCTTACAAGCAAAAGCAGATTATGCAGATATGAAATTTTTTCCCCCATAGAACATTGGAAAAATAGGTTCTGTATTAAAGCTTAAATAAATATACTAATA